CCCCATACACAGCCCCCCATACTAACATTGCCACACACATACACTGCCCACACACTCTACACATTCACACACTACACCACCACACACACACTGAACCTTTCACACACATTGCACCACTGCTCCTATTCCCTACTACAGCCTCATATCCCAGCAGACCCCAGGTAAGTTGTCAAACTGTTCTTAAACGGTTTGGCTACTTACTCTGGAGCAGTAGTGGTTATTGTGCATGGATTATTTCTTTAAATAATCTACAAGTGCCCCAGTAGCCAGCCAGCCAACCCACAGGCTGGCCAGTAGCCAGCCAGTTAGCCAGCCCACAGGCCAGTAGCCAGCCCACAGGCCAGTAGCCAGCCCACAGGCCTACAGCAAGCCACAGGCTTACAGCCAGCAAGCCCACAGCCTGCCAGTCGCAGCCAGCAAGCCACAGCCTGCCAGCCGCAGTCAGCAAGCCCACAGCCTGCCGGCAGTAGCCAGCAAGCCCACAGCCTGCCAGCCGCAGCCAGCAAGCCCACAGACTGCCAGCCAGCAACAGTAATTAAGGTAAGAGGAGCCAACTTGGCTTGGGTATCAGCGAGCTATGTTGTGTTGCTATATTGTGAATAGGAACCAGAGTGTTGGAGAGACCACCCTCCAGGCCCCATTAGACTCTAGCCTCTGCTAGAAATCCCCTCCATGGCCCATTAGCCCTCAATTGTAGTTTCTACTGGGGCCTGGAGGCGACTGTTTCCAGCAGGGGATATCTAATGGACGCTGAGATGGCCTCTGTTAGAAAGACCCCCTTCCAAGCCTTTTTAGACTCCATTGTAGTCTCTAATGGGGCTTGGAGGGGATTCTATCTAACACACTCTCTAAATGACACTGAGATAGCCTCCGCTAGAAAGACCCCCCTCCATGGCCCATTAGCCCTCAATTGTAGTCTCTACTGGGGCCTCGAAGGGCTTATTGCCCTTTTGTTCCTTGTGTCTAAAGATTGTGTACGGTGTGGCTGGAGGCGGGACAAGGGTGGCGCTTGCTGCAGAGTATGGGTGGGGCCTGTAAGGGGGCCCTTGATTTATTTTGCCCGGGGGCCCTGAGGGTTCTCAGTCCGCCCCTGCCTGGAAGTCCAGCGGTATTCGTGCTGTTGAGTAGCCGATTTTAGTTCCAGGCACTCAACGACAAAATACCGCTGGGCTAACAAGGAATCCAAGCTGGCCGACCGCTGTGTGGTCGGTAGCTGAACGGCGGCCACCCTCAATCTTTAATAACTACCAAAAGATACAATGTTGCAATGTTTAATGGGAGCCACACGACCTCCTGTGTGTGGTCTCCCATTCGGTAGTTTGTTCGTTTCACGAACAGTGTTGAAATTCACTGTTCATGAAACTACTGTATGAATGCTGGTGGCTTTCGTGCCACCAGCATACGAATGCTCTTGTTTGCACAAAATAAAGAATTAGGTATACGCTTGGTTCTAACATTCTTAAAGCTACAGCAACACATTAATACACATACAGTCTTAAGTGGCTAGTTTTGCCACAATGTCCTCTGCAACAAAAGCCCCAATCAAGGCATATAACTCCCACTGATCTCAGGCAGACCAGGGCTTGTCTCTGTGTGACACCACACACTGCATATCGTCTGAAACATTTTGGGAGTAATGCAGTGATTGCATCACACATCATGCTGTATGAGGCAGTGACATCTGTAACAATACCTAGAGCTTGTCGTGTCAGTGAAAGTCTACTGTTTGTTTCAATTTTTACAATTTTTACGCCTTTACTCCTCCCCGCTTGTCGTACTTTTCGTATCTGATAAAAAATTTTTTATCTTTCATCCCCATCACTGCTGCCTGCAGATTTCTGAGGAGTATTGTAACAATGTGTCCAGCCTGCTGTCTGTGGAGTTCTGAGGAGTATTGTAACAATGTGTCCAGCCTGCTGTCTGTGGAGTTATGACAAGTATTGTAACAATGTGTCAGTGCTGCTGTCTGCGGAGTTATGATGAGTTTGGTAACAATGTGTCAGTGCTGCTGTCTCCAGAGTTCTGACATGTATTGTTACAATGTATCCAGTCTGCTGTCTGCAGAGTTCTGAGGAGTATTATAGCAGAGTATCAGTTCTGCTGACTGTGGAGTTCTGGAGTATTGTAACAATGTGTCCAGTCTGCTTTCTGCGAAGTTCTGATGAGTATTGTAACAATGTGTCAGTGCTGCTGCCTGCTGAGTTCTGATGAGTATTGTAACAATGTGTCCAGTCTGCTTTCTGCAGAGTTCTGACGAGTATTGTAACGAGTTATTTCTCAGTGTGACACAGAGCGGCAGGTCAGATATAACCGCCATGATGTCTCAGTTTAAGTATAATGTTGACATTGGTGCCTTGCTCTCACACATCTTAAGGTTAAGCTCTTTCTTGGGGTTACATTCACCATTGGGATTCACTAATAGACTCTCCTGCAAGATCTTCACTAGGTTCTGCACCAATAGGCCAATCTACTAAGGGGTTTATTCATTAAGATCTAAATGGTAAAATAAAAGTAAAAATAACTGATTTGGGAAAAAACTACTTTCTATAGAAGAGCGAATGCGTAGTTAGAGGATAATAATCATATTGGAAATATTTACTGGAAGGCGCCACTTTGTCTGTAGCGCAGCACACTAAATGTGAGTGACTGTCAGTTTAATTCTCTAAACCAGGATTGTGAAGGCATTGCACGTTTTATGCCAAAATAGCTATGACAAGACAATAGCTGATGTGGAACCAATCCTTTTTTATTATTTGTCTAAAATGTATGATTTCCTTCCCAAAATTCTTCCTTTAGTGAATAAATTCCATTGGAATTCAGGCTGATCCATTATTTGTTCAGTCTTTAGAAAAGTTGCAATACCCCCGGCTGCCTACAGGAGGCACTAGTATTCCATCATTAAAATATTCTGCAGGTTCTGCTGAACACACAGCATATAAATCTTACCCTCAAAAAAGTGCGCTTGCCAGTCTGACTCAGGAAAAAGGGAATTATTACACTTAATTAAAGTGTATTGACACCATATGTTCTCGAGCCTTGACTCCACATAGTAATATTAATGATCGCAATACAGCAGGCCTACCCTGCCTCCCTTCCAGCCAGAAACACAGCCTTTCTCCCCAAAAATATTAATGCAACAATTTATATATGGAAATTTTTTTTCATTTTTTTCACGTTTAATGACTTTTTATGTTTCTTTATTTGAGACAGCAAAGGGAAAATGGCTGTTTGTTAGACTCTGATTAACAGCTGCGATATTGTGTCTTTTATTGTGTCTGTTCTGTGAGATAGACAGAATAATCATGTTTCAGGGATACCTACAGTCTGCCAGAATCTGACTGTTTCTGCATTTATTATCTGTCCGTCTGTCTGTCTAATATCTGTGTTCGCCTGTCTGTCTGTCCACATTTCCGATTTAAGGTGTTATTATAAAATGTAGAAAAATACAGACAGTGCAGAGGTTCTCATTAAATCCAACTTGTTGGGAGTGAAATTAAGTTCTCTCAGGATTTTGTGAAGAATATAATTGTACGTTGCACCCTAGACCTGGAGATATGTTTTGGACTGAACAGCAATTAGTTCAGATTTGTCCTAATTGGGCGATTGGCCAAATTCCAGAACTCCAAGACGAAATGTACCTGAATCACGCAATGCCGAACATGATTCTGAATTCTGTCTGTTGTGCCACAAAAAGACCTGATTGCTGGCGATGGGACAATTACTAAAGGGTGATTTTATTCATATAATAACTATTTGATGTATACATTTATAAATATAGCTTTTTTTACAGCACAACCACCTCCTCTGTGCTTATAACTGCGTCAATTTCACCAAATTATTATAATGAATGACACGTCATTTAATTAATAAAAACAAATTAGTAACAAAGTAAGCATTATAAATACAATATAACAGATATGCAATATATCTTACGGAAACGTGCACACATATCATAGTTGATGTGATCTATTTCCCTCACCACCGCTCTATGAACTGGTTAAACGGGTCAGTTGATGGATCCATTAGTCTCGAGATTGCATCATTAGCGACAACGACTGAAGACAAGCCTGTTTTTTAGTAGATAACAATTTATAATGCCGGCAGAGCCACTGCAGTCATTTCAATTAATGCTCTGATTGAAAACACTCACACTGTACCGGCTGAAAACATAATTAATGCATAACGAGGACATGTAACAGACATGACTAGCAGTGAGGACTAGTCACGCTCCCTGTTGACCAGCTAGCGCACAGACTAGGAGATATATGTCGTACTAGAATTGCGCTAACATGATCAGGAATATATTGAATGATACTCTCTGCAGTTTTCAGAACCAACACAGAGCATCAGGTCCATACTAGGCATGGTTCCACCCAAACATGGTGCCTAGTCTGCTAATTGTTACGATAGTTATATTTAACCTGGCCTTTACTTTATTAAACCAGTTGTTTCAAGTCATTTTCCAATTCCCACAGCTCACAGCTTAGTGACTGACCCTTAAAGTCAGAATTAAATGGATAACTACGGTATTGTCATATCCGCTCGCTTGGAAGGGGAGATGAAAACAACACGTTGTATTAACTGTCTGTGACAAAGCTCGACGTTATCAGCAACACCAACGCCAGTCATGATGTCATTACCATCCTCCAGGGAGTATGAGGTCATTAATTGAACTGCTTGCTGAGATAAGAGGCCGTAAAAATAAACAGGGCTTGTGCAAAATGTGCCCGACCGCAACAAGAACCTTTAAGTGCTGGGGGGGTGTTTGCGTTCAGCTAATAGTTATTTTCTCTCTCTCTACGACGTTCACTTGAAAATATACAGGAAGGATCAGTGAAATGAGGGTATTTTAAACAAAATCTGTAGGCGAGCTAATATTTCTATATCTGTTCTTAGAGAATCTAATCCTGACTTTTCATCTAAATGTAAGTGATTGATCCATAGAATAGTTAACGGTTTAAAAAAGGGTTAATAAAACGCAGGTATTGAAGGCAGGTACAAATCATTTCTGTCCATCCATTCGCTATTTAAAAACATTTCATTTCTTTTTTTATTTAAAGAGGATCTATCTCTACCTTTTTGTAACAACCTGACTACTGGCTAAAACGTAGGCCTCAATTTAATTATTATTATTTTATTATTTATATAGCGCCAGCAAATTCCATAGCGCTGTAATCAGCTTTCTCAATAATTCAATACTGTTACAAAACATTCCAATTGATTTATCTGCAAAAAATTCTATAGACTTTAATTGCACCTTCTCTAGATAAATCATTCAGTATTAAATTATTTGGAAAACTGATTAAAATGAGGCCTTAATTTTGGGGTGTGCTATTTTATTTATTTTATGTAATTGAAATAAATAAATGTTACTGTAAGACAAGCTGTGACGGCACAATCGGAGGATATTCTGAAAATGTTTCGATCTCTGTTTAATATTTTTGGATTAGTGATTCAATATTCTTCGATAAACTTTTAAGATGATTTAATATTATGAGAAACATTTAGATTTTGAAATATTTTCATGATTTGGATATATTGATATAATGTTTTATATATTTTGATATTTTAATAATTTTTAAACATTTTCTTTTAAAAGTGTATCCAAATATAATAAATTATTTGAAAAGCCTATCCAGCAATCTGAAATCAAGGCGCAGATGTGTAGGATGAACATAGAGTTTGCTGTAAATCCAGTCAGTTGATCAATGCCTTGATAAGAGTTATGGGAGTTGCAGCGTATTGAGTGAAGTTAACCCCTTAACTTCTCCTCCTGGATACTTACACTACAAGTACACCATATTACCCTCATCCGTCTGCCGACAGGTTATAGGGCTAGGGGGGTTTGGTGATTCCCTCGGCCCAGCATTTTATTTACTTCAAGGCCAAGGGTTGGAGGAAGAAGTTGGACATTCGTTGTAGCCATAACTTTGGAGTGGAACGAAGCGGTGGCGCCATCAGCTAAATCTCTAGGTGGTGTATCCTTCCCCTCCTTGCTTCCTGCACATAGGTTCGAGGAGGGATGAGTACTGCTGGCCCCCTTAGGCTGGGGAAACCCACATTTATTTTTAACTCCTGAGAATTCCTCTGCAATAATGTCAGGGTCTCACGGGCCTCATGCATGGTTTCTTTATGTAAATTCTGAATCGTTTGGGTTGGCAAACAATTATTATTATTATTTTATTATTTATATAGCGCAATCAGATTCCGTAGCGCTGTACAATGGGTGGACTAACAGACATGTAATTGTAACCAGACAACTGGACGTACAGGAACAGAGAGCTGGAGGGCCCTGCTCAATGAGCTTGCATTCTAGAGGGAGTGGGGTATAGTGACACAAAGGGTAAGAGTAGGGGCACGACGTAGGTTGTTAGAAATGTATTCATTGAGGGCTTGGTAGGTAATTTTTGACAGTTGCAGGAGAGGAGTCATGGAGGGTGGGGGATGAAAACCTGCTAACAGTTTAATTGATATGCTTTCTTGAAGTGAGTTTTCAATGATTTTTTGAATGAGTGGAGACTGAGTGAAAGTCTAACGGAGAAGGGAAGGGAGTTCCATAGAAGAGGTGCAGTCCTCTTTCAATATTTACCGCCATTAGTTACCACTTCTGCCACACTTTTACCTGGTGCTGTACTAACTCAGCCCTCATACCAGGAATAAATCATTCTCAATGATTAGACCTCGAGCCATTGTATGAAATAACTGAGTTCGAGATATGCATGTTTATGTGTAGTTAGCAAATTGAGCCGACCTAGCAAAAAAATAAATAAATAAATAAATAAATGATTTCATAAATGTATTGCTGTTAAGGAATACCTAAAAATAACATTACATAATGTAATTACATTAATGACATAAATTACATCTTTTTTTCAATTATGTACATTTTAGGTACCTGTGTTTTTCTTCATTTACTCTTTTCAAAAATATTGAGTATAATTTTTGACATTTTTGAAGTAATTCTGTCCTTTATCGTTGTTTAATTTTTGATTACATGATTATATCTCTCCCCATTCTCCCAATGGAAATGGTCATTGGGACGCCATGGAAGCGACCAAAGTCCCAATTCATCTTTGTGCCCGGGGGATTATGGGACAAAGCACAATAAACTGCGTTAAAAATCACACCATTTATTATAGCCAGTCCGTGATCAGGTTAATTGTTAACTCCCCAAAGGAAAATTTGATACCCCCTACCCTTAGAATCCACCACATCCCCGACTCTTTAGGCAAACATTGCCAACTACGCAAGTCGGGGGGTCAATAAAATAAAAAAAAACTGGAAACTGAACGTGCTGTAAAGTATATGAAACCTGCC